ACCTATAAATATACATTTCCAAAAGTATTGGCTCGTCTGCCTTCACACGCATATGAACTTGAGTGACATCCCATTCTTAATCCATAGGGTTTAATATGATGTCGGCCCACACTTTGCAGCTATAACAGCTTCAACTCTTCTGGGAAGGCTTTCCACAAGATTTAGGAGTGTTTATGGGAATTTTTGACTATTTTTCCAGAAGCTCATTTGTGAGGTCAGACACTGATGTTGGACGAGAAGGCCTGGCTCACAGTCTCCGCTCTAATTCATCCCAAAGGTGTTCTATCGGGTTGAGGTCAGGACTCTGTGCAGGCCAGTCAAGTTCTTCCACACCAAACTCGCTCATCCATGTCTTTATGGACCTTGCTTTGTGCACTGGTGCGCAGTCATGTTGGAACAGGAAGGGGCCAAACTCCCCAAACTGTTCCCACAAAGTTGGGAGCATGAAATTGTCCAAAATCTCTTGGTCTGCTGAAGCATTAAGAGCTCCTTTCACTGGAACTAAGGGGCCGAGCCCAACTCCTGAAAAACAACCCCACACCATAATCCCCCTCCACCAAACTTTACACTTGGCACAATGCAGTCAGTCAAGTACCGTCTCCTGGCAACCGCCAAACCCAGACTCGTCCATCGGATTGCCAGACAGAGATGCGTGAATGGTCAGTCCAGAGAACACGTCTACACTGCGCTAGAGTCCAGTGGCGGCGCTTTACACCACTGCATTCAATGCTTTGCATTGCGCTTGGTGATGTAAGGCTTGGATGCAGCTGCTCGGCCATGGAAACCCATTCCACGAAGCTCTCTACGCTGTTCTTGAGCTAATCTGAAGGCCACATGAAGTTTGGATGTCTGTAGCGATTGACTCTACAGAAAGTTGGCGACCTCTGCGCACCATGCGCCTCAGCATCCGCTGACCCCGCTCTGTCATTTTACATGGCCGACCACTTCGTGGCTGAGTTGCTGTCGTTCCAAATTGCTTCCACTTTGTTATAATATCACTGACAGTTCACTGTGGAATATTTAGTAGTGAGGAAATTTCACGACTGGACTTGTTGCACAGGTGGCATCCTATCACGGTACCACGCTGGAATTCACTGAGCTCCTGAGAGCGACACATTCTTTCACTAATGTCTGTAGAAGCAGTCTGCAGGCCTAGGTGCTTGGTTTTATACCCCTGTGGCCATGGAAGTGATTGGAACACCTGAATTCAATGATTTGGCTGGGTGAGTGAATACTTTTGGAAATATAGTGTATTTGATGAAAATGACTTTTGTGCGTTGAAGGTAAAAAGTGATTTTACTGGTTACAACGTAGTACCGGCCCACTTTGACTCAAACACACAAGCACTTCTGTACTGTGTATGTTGAACCCAAATATTACAAATGATCTACCTAATAAACACATGGTGATGATGAACTCAATGAATTTCCTCTCCCACATTAACCCCTTAAATGACCAGGGCCCAAAGTTTTATTACACACTTCTATAACCTAAGAATAGCTCAGCCAGCTTGCACTGAAGTCCCTGCAGTTACTGAATAATAAGCCTTAGTATGTAAAAAGCCTGGGATGTTAAGAGTTTAACTACATTTAATCCAGTTCAGCTCTTCAGTTACTCCTGCAGCACTCATAGGAACCGGGTTATTAAAACATATTTAACAGTACATCATGTGATCACTTCTGTATAAAGACAGTAAAAATATAGCTGCACAAAAAACTTTTCTATAGACATGTAAAACTTGTCATTATTAATTGCCTTTTTGATTAATTCATGAACGCAACATGAAAGTGCATCTACTCCAAAGCTCCAGTTAGCGTCTGTGTGTTTGTGCCCATTGTGGTCTGAATATTTTCCAACCACAAAACTGACCTTAAGCTATTTTCATCAACACGCTGCATCAAAACCACACGGCTGCACTTTAACACGTCTCCATTTTCTATCACCACAGATAAACAACAGAGTTTTTACTGTTAACAGCAGTTAATTAGGTCAATGCAGCTAAAATATGACCAGAATAGTGGGTATGCAGTGAGGTATCAATGTAAAAATGCATTTGATTTGATGAAAGGTATCATCAAACCTTCGTTTTATCATCATTTTTTATCATCATTTTATACTATATTTTATACTTATACTTAATTTATAACTTCAGAAAATTTCAACTATAACAGAAGCAGTTTAACTATATTGAGCACCCAGTGATTTATTGGCCTAAACTAGTTTAGATCTACATGATCTTATTGACTAATCTAAGCATTTAAGGATCTATTTAAACATCACAGAACTGTGTTAAAGGACTGTTTTTCTGCCTGGCCTGCTGGAGCCGCTCTGGTATGGTGAATAGCTCACCAGAGAACAGGGAGAATTGGATTTGTCTGCTATTACTGTTCTGTATTTGGGTTTGTTTGCATGTCATTTTTTTAGAACCATATAAAATGAGGTTCTTCCTCATGCTCTTAGGGAATTTCTCCTTTTGATTCTTGGTTCCTCTCAGTGGTTCTTCCTCATGCTCTTAGGGAGTTTCTCCTTTCTGAGTCTTGGTTCTTCTCAGGGGTTCTTCCTCATGCTCTTAGGGAGGTTCTCCTTTCTGAGTCTTGGTTCCTCTCAGTGGTTCTTCTTCATGCTCTTAGGGAGGGTCTCCTTTCTGAGTCTTGGTTCTTTGCAGCGGTCCTTCCCCATGTTCTCGGGGAAATTCTTCTTTGAGTCTTCTCAGTGGTTCTCCTTACTTAGCCTTAATTCCTTTAAGAGGTTCTTTCTTCATGTTCTTAGAGAGTTTCTCCTTTGAGTCTTGGTTCCTCTCAGTTCTTTCTCATGCTCTTAGGATTTTTTTCTTTTGAAACACTGAAATTAATTCTCTTTTTGATAATCATGTCAGTGTTTGTTATAAAAATAGTGGCTTGACACTTACAATGATGGACTCTTTCCCACTGGGTCTCAGAGAAAATATATGCATGTTTGAATGACCACAATGTTTGGAAAAGTCTATAAGCATCTCTTCTGTCTTTGAGATGGACCACAAAACACAGACAAATGAATAGTATTGTCAGCAAATTTAATGTTTTAAATATAATACATATATTTTAAAGCTCTAGAAAAATCATCAACAAGAACCTTAGCAGATGACTTTTCGGATGTTTATGTATGATGTCCAAAAGAAAGAACACCAATCATAATTGCACTTAATAAATGTGTAGAGGACATAAAATTTCGTAGACATGTATAGGGTATTCATTTATTGTCTGCGGAACTATGCACATGTCAACACTGCTAGCTGGAAGAGTGTGGGACCGGACTGGAAAAATGTGAAATATGTGAAATGTGATGTAAAGCATGGTAGATAGTGAATACTCAGGTCAGAGAATACTTTTGGCCATGTCTGTATATGTTATAATATAATAGTCATAGCTGGTATAAATGATGCCTTCTAAAGCATGCAAATGCACACACTTGCACACAGCATGCATGCAGATATGTACAAGTGTGTGCACACACATACACACAAACATGCTTATGGTTGAGTGCTTGCGTGTGTCTGTGTGTTTGCATATCAGGGTTTGAAGATTTTCCGACCACAAAACTGACCTCTGGCTTTTGTAGTGTTGCTGTATAAATACCACAATGTTAAAGAAGGCCATTTATTTCCTTTTCCACAGAAACAGATATATACGCACACACATCTTCTAAGCCACTTCTCCTTCTGGGTGCTAGAGCCTATCCCAGCTGTCATCAGGCGGAAGGCAGGATACACCCTGGACAGGTCGCCAGTCCATCGCAGGGCAGACAGACAGACAGACATACACAGTCACTCCTAGGGGCAATTTAGCATGTCCAATCAGCCTGACTGCATGTCTTTGGACTGTGGGAGGAAACCAGAGTACCCGGAGGAAACCCACGCAGACACGGGGAGAACAGGCAAACTCCACACAGAAATGACCCTGGTCGCCCGGCCGGGAATCGAACTCAGGCCCTTCTTGCTGTGAGGCAACAGCGCTACCCACTGCGCCACCCCAGAAACAGACATAAAAATGGACAAAATAAATTAATAAGCAACAGGGTTTTCAGCTTTATTTACATGTACTCAGAAAACAAAGAACATACGTGATGTCCGGTCATGAACCAGTCATCAATAACAGTGCCAGTTAAAACTCCGCTGACAAAGAAACCATACCGGCTTGTCATGATGTCATGTGAGCCAAAAATGACTAAAGAGACTTCAGATTTTCAGCAGAGTGCCACATAAGGCTGTGATGAATTTGTGACAAAATTATTTTCAATTAAGAGGAAAAAGTAACTTGGTACTTTTTTGTTGCTGGACTTAGCAAGGCAAGTTTACTTATGTAGCACCTTTTATACACTACTGTCATTCAAAGTTCTTTAGCAACATTGTATGAAATTGTAAATGTTTTCACATGATAGTATTCCTAAGTGAGCTTTCAGGGTAAAAGTCTACCTCTGTTTTCATATGCTTGTAAGTTTAGTTGAGAGGGACGTTATTTGGCTTCAACTGTGGAGATATCTGTAAAATCAATGTATATTTCCAAATCCGGGAGGCTGAGTGTTGGTATCACAACATTAGGCCTCACCTTTAATTGAAGGCTGGACAAACAGTCACATCAGAAAGAAGCCATAACACATGGAAGCATGAGCTATAGAAGATTTATGATTTATTAACACTGATTTCCAAACAACAGAAGCTGAGCTGATGTTAAAGCCCCACCTACCCCACATTGTTTGACAGTGAAACTTCCTTTCTGATACAGATACAATGGAGCTGTGAGGGGCTGCATGTCAGCTATGGCTCTGCTGCTGTGCAGCATTGGTAAGTGTGTTTTTATTCAGTTATTTATTCAGTTAATATTGATATTTGAAACATTTGTTGATTTTTTTTCATACCAGGACAGTGTTAAAGTGCAAAAAGTTTTTTTCTGTTCTGAAAAGTTATATTTCAGTTTTAATTCAGTTCGTATTACAGTTTTTATTAAAATCTGTTTTTCCTTTGAAAGCACTAAAAGTCTGTACAGTGGCTGCAGAGAGCACTGATAAACATTCAGACAAGCAGCTTAGATCATGCTAGTTCACATATACGACTATAAACAGACATTTCTTGTTGTGTTGTGTGTGTTTCAGGTGTTCTGTCAGTGTGTTTGAGCTCTCAGGCTGGTTTAACTGTAGAAGCAGAACCTGGTGATGATGTCACTCTCTGGTGTCAGTACAGTCTGAGTCTGTCATCTTATTTATTCTGGTTCAAACAAACAAATAATTCAGCACCAGTTTTTATTGCATGCAGATATTATACAGTATCATCCTCCTCCTCTAACTCCTGTTTCTTTATCACTGAGAGTAACAGATCAGTGATGAGAGTGAACTCTATGAACTCCTCTCTCACTATAACTGCAGTTAATCACTCTGATTCAGGACTCTATTACTGCAGCACTCAGAGGGAACAGTTCATGACCTTCAGTAACACAACATATTTACAAATCAGAGGTAATGTCAGTTACTTTATTAGATTAATGTTGGCTCATAATTTGTACTACAATGGATTAAGCCATATGAAACAGTAATATAGGAGACTAAAATAAATCCAGATTCTCTTTCTTTTCAGAGAGATATAACATGTCTTTCACGAATGCAGACAAATCTACAGAAGGTTTGCCATTTGCCAAATTAATCATAGTAGATCTTTTCGCTGCTGTTGGAACAAAACCTCATATTTACATTTTTTAACTTTTGACAAAACAAAAGAAATGGCCCAAACTCACCTGGAAAGAAGTGTGGTTCCATTGACTCACATTAAAATTACAGTACATTTTCTTCTTCTCCTGTAAAGTTATCATTTTGAAGAGGTTTTGTTTTCACAGCAGTGTTATATTACTTTGCTAATTAAACACAGTGTTTTGAGGTTTGATGACTGTGTTTAAGATGGCTAAGGACTGGACCATCATTAGCCTTTTAAAATGAATACTGTTATCACTGATAGTTCAGTGATCTTAGTTAGATCAAACATTTTAGCAATTAAACTATATTTCTGATATTTTATTAAAGCTGTCTGCACTTCTAATGTGGTCCCCATGCTGGTTCTGGTGTTTGGAGCTGTGATTGTGGTTCTGCTCAGTGTTCTTCTGTTCCTTCTGTTCAACACACTGAAGTACAGAAAACAGCACAGAGAAGGTAAAGTATATTTTTTACACTTCAGATGTGATGATTAAAGTATTTTTAACAATGTTTTCAATACTGCTGTTTATAACAGTGAAAAGAATGGCGTGAATGACTATCAAACTTAACTGCATGTTTAAGTCTGCAGCCTAATAACTGTGCATGTTTCCACAGATTCTGACTCTAAACTGAAACAGGAGAATGAGGTAATTGTAAAACTGGAAAAGGAAATAATCAGCTTCAACAAATCTGTCCTTCCTTCTGCAGTTATTGTTCTATGTTTGTAACACATTGTGTTTGCTATATTACTACAGGAGCAGGATGGTGAAATGATGAACTATGTTGCTCTAAACTTCTCCAACAAGAAAAACAGGAGATCACACAGATGACTAGAGGAAGAGGATCCACATATCATATACTCTTCTGTAAATCAGTAGAATTTTGTACAGTAAGTTTACATGCTGTTTGTGATTTGGACCAGAGAGCTCTATGAAAGCTAAAGCTTTAATTTACAACATGTATCTAAAGTAATTAATGAGTTGAAAATAAAAGCCATAAAACCAGTTTCTACTGAGCTGATTATTGTAGAAATAGATTTTAATTTTTTTTCTGGAAATTATAGCTTTTCTTTTTTTTTTAGTTTTTCACTATAGCCAGGTCAGTAAACTAAAGTTTTTTCTATGTAAACAATGATGAAGTAATTCTATATTTAGCACTATTGTTGCACTGATTGAGCTGATTATTAGTTCCCAACTTTGTGCATATTTTGCTGTGTTTTAAGGACTACTGTGTGTTTTAGGGGATTATGTTGCAGAAAAGAGTTGAATTAAAAATGTTACATTTATAATTAAGCAAAAACTGATGACAAGATGATAAATCAGATGCTACTGTGAGGGGCATTCATATTTTTTTTGTACCGTTCTACAAAACAAGTATTAGACATAAGTTAATGCTATGTGCATAAGTAAAGTCTACTTAATACAAAGCTACTATATTAAAAGCTCTCTCCCCTCTGACCTAACTTGCAATGAAAGCTTTACTAGACTTTGTGGGAAAATATGGGGGACAAGTGCTGTTTATTTTAATGCCCCTTTTCTCCTGTGTTTAATGTAGGGAAGTGGGGTAGCTTGTAGTATTTCTGTTTCTTTCTGTTTTCAGGTTTACTTCGTTTAACACTATTGTTGTTTTGGTGTCTCTGAAGCCATCACCCGCATTCAGCTTCCAGCTTAGCCTCTTGCAATGGAGGCTTTTAAGGAAATCTAAATAAACCTGAGCTGTTTTCAGGTTTAAATGATGTCTGACGTTTGGTCTGAATGCAGATCTGGAGAGAGCCCACTCGCATTTTCTGTTACGGCCTGAACCTAGACTCGTTGTAACTGATGGGGACAGTTCTGGTGGTCTACCAGGTCTTGCAGGTGGTTGTTAGGACTCCCTTCTGTCCCTGTTTTTTCACTTTTTCTTCTTATTCTTTTTCTCCTTCCTTATGCAAGTGGGTTATTTTCCATTTAATTTCCCCAAAGAAATCTCCTGAAAAACTTGTACTTAATGGCCGTTTTGACTGGTAATTTAATAAATGAAGGTAGTTTCTGTCTTTTGCACAGCAGTTTTCTATTACATGTTGCACAGCAGCAAAACCTGAGCTGAAATCTCAATCAGGCCCTGAGGTGCACAGAGATTTGTCCTTTTTCACAGAGAATATACTGAGCTGACAACAAAAGCACTACACAGCTTTCAGTTTCGAAATCAGCCTGGAGTGCTGACTTGTTCACAGTGACTAGTGATCCTGAACAGTTTCCTGACACATGATTGAATGAGGCATTCCAGTCTGGTGTATATATATATGTATCTGGCAACCCTTATCCACTGCTGAGTAGGTGTAAGAGAGGGAACTACATCCACGGAAGAGTAAGACCTACCCTGTGTATAATGGATTACAGTACAGTGGCCAACAAATGCCTGTTTGTTCTGGCTGTGAATGTTCATCTAGTATCAGCAGGTAAGTCTGATCTCAGTCTTAGACAAATGTTGGCCAAATTTTAGCTTTGTTGGTCTAACATTCATTCTGATGACCTTTTACATGAATTTACATTAACTTGTCTGTAGCATGGTTGACAATGCCTAGTTACATTTTTTAGTGTTTAATTCAAGAACATTGTTATATACTAATAAGAACATTGTTATATCCTTCGATCTTGATATTATCAAGGTGTTTCATATTATAAAAAATAAAGTACTGGTCCTAAAAATGTAATGTTAATGAATGAATTTATTATTTTTTGTTGTTGTGTTTGATCAGACCAGCATGTCCACTACATAATTAATTAAATAGTTAGATTTTTTTCACAAGGAGGAAGAAAATATTGCGTTATATAAGTTTCTGTTCAGCAGATGGTGCTGTCTGACATGCTCTTCAATTATATAAGCATTTATTAGTATTGAAGAATGGAAACCATGCAAACTATCAGTGCGCAGATTAAGGCATAGTTACTTGTATTGGCTATACTAACACTTGAGTAGTCATTTACTATGTATTCCATTTGTTTTCCATTTGTATAATGAATTAGATTGGTACAGTTTTCTCTACTCAGTCTCACTAAAATGTCCACTAGATGATATTTACCCTGATAAGACTGGGGTAATTATAATATGCTCACTTCATCTAATAAGTATGTTACAGTTGCAGTATAGAAGCAATATAACGTGATGACAAAAATAGGATCATTATTCACCTCAGAAGGAACATCAGCTGTCAACAAAAACTTATTGAATAAAATCGTATCAATGTAATCATTCAGTTTTAAGTTCTAAAATGAATATGAATGATGCATGCAAAACAGTTGCACTATAAACAGCTGCTTGCTGTGCTAAATATAGAAATTATTTTTGTAATCATTAAGTTATTTTGTGTTCATTTAGTATTATATTTCTGCAAAAGTAAAGTTTCTTTCATTGTCAAATGATTTGTTTGCTTTTAGGCTATCAGAAGTAATATAATTTGATTACAGTATACCTGGGTTCAGGGTTCACTAATGAACATCATACCTGCCATTTTACTAGATATACTATGTATTTGGTAGGCTAATTACTAGGCTACCAAACACACGAAAACAAAATCTTCAGATACTTCAGGCTGCTAAATACCACACCAGTAATGTGATTATTTTAAAATCTGTTTTTAATTGGGACCAGAGTGTAAATGTCTGCAAATGTCCCCAACAACTGTTACCTTTATCCCTGGTCTCCCACACTCAGTTGCAATTGGTGAAATAAATCCTAAATTACATAGAAGGATCTAGGCAGTGCTTTCAGTGTTGAAATCAAGCCAGAGAGTTCACTTGATCGTATTGGCTAGTGATCCTGAATAGCTTCCCTAAATGTGATTGGATGGAGGGTGGAGCTGGTACAGCTCTGGGCAGGAGATTTGCAGGGTTGCCATATTGAGGAAAAATCACTCATTCTCTAAACAAGCTACGTTGGAAATGGTGTTGTGAAGCACTGCTTCTCAACCCGGGTCCTGGAGGACCTCTGTATTATGGCTGCTGCTTGAAATTAGATATGTCTAAAACATAATAAATGCTGCCTGCTCCTACAGTATTCTAAGGCAGCCAGTCATGCCCGAATTGAATGTTTGTGTAAAATGCTGCCTGAGGATCCTCTGTAGCATAGTGTATCCCAGCCTTCTTAAAAGACTGGGAAAACAATGCTAATGCTAACAACTAGCAGTGAGGTGTCATATCTTGGCAACAGTGTGATGTATCGCTGCCTTCAAAGCACTTCTTAAACACTCACTGAAGCACTCACTTATGAGACAACAAGGCATCGAGACAGTTGCCTCCAGTTTCGGACACAGCATTGGACAACGCATGGTGACGTGCCTTTCCTGTGCATGCATGGTTCAAATCGGGTTTCTGGTTCAAATTGTGTAGTAATGGGGCAGAAATATGGCTTCCTTTGTGTCTTACTCTATGCCTATGCTGTTGGAAGTGCGGTTGGAAGGTCATTGGTGATCTGAGATGGAGCTGCGCCAGAAAGAACTTTAAAGCAGGCAGCAAAAGAAGCAGAGCTGGGAAAAGAACATGATAGTGGGCAAAAGAATGAGGAAGATGTTCTGGCGAAATAGGACGGTGGACCCGGCACAAGAAGGCCCGGTAATGGGGCTGGCATGAGGAGGTGTGAGGGAGGCGACAGCGAAAGTGAAATCGTCAAAGGTTTCAGCGCGGGAGCACCCCAGCGAGCAGCAGTGCAGTTGGTGAGCTGACTGTATAGCGACCCCCTACTGGCTGGTGCTGGCCTCTAGAAGCTTGAGGCCAGGAGGATCTTGGGAGGTTCATACCTTCCGAAAAAGGGACATTTTGTGTCATGTGTGCATGTCTAATATGCTCTTCTATGTCATGGAGTGGTTTTAGTTAGGACTGTTTTGTGTGGGGTCACCGTCAAGGTGAAGCCTGTGGCTGGTAGTGACCTTCCCTTGGACTTTGTGTGTCTGTATACATGTTTTTGCCTGATGTTTAATAAAAAGTGCTTCTTGCAGCATAATAATGGTCTTCCCTGTGTCTTACTGTTTACTGACGCTACAATACATTTTTTCACTTTCCAAGAATGAGAGGGTATAATGAAGAGAAGAAATTAATCATTAAATTAATCAAGTTAAAAATTAAATGAAGATAAAAACATGCTTATACATAGAGTGCATAGAGCTAACAGTGTTTAAACTGAGCTGAAAGCTGCTCAAATAGGAACTTTTCTAATGCTCTCTGTCATCAAGTTCCATTTAAGAGCAGCATAGTAGCCAAACACTGCTTCTCCATGTTTAGTCTTCAACTTTGACAGGACTAACTGACCAGTTCCTAATGATCTGAGAGTTATCAGTCAACAGTTATCTGTCAGTTATCTGTCAACGCTAAACACGTCCTCATTTTGCTACTGAGCTCTCACTGTACAAGGTGGAACAGAATAGTTTTGCCCCGTTCAATGGCCAGGGCCCACCAGCATGCCCAAGGTTTTATTACACACTTCTACAACCTAAGACTAACTCAGTCAGTTTGCACTGAAGTCCCTGTAGTTGCTGAATAATCCTTAGTATGAAATAAGGTACAGATTACAGATTTTTCTGCATAAGTTAACAGCTGAAACTTGTTTCTTTTTTAGAAGCCTCTTTAACTTTTTTTGTTAAATCTGAAAGAACAAAAAGCAATGTAAATCTGCATGTTCCCAACAAAAGTACTTTTGAAATACCAGTGAAGTCTCAGAGTTTAGAGTTAACTCAACAATAGTCTATTTAAACCAAACCATCAATAACAAGACTGCATTTCTGTAGCTCAAGCTGCAGATACTTGCATGCATTATTAGTACAATGTTACACGGAACTGCTAAAATGCTGGGGTTGTTTGACTTACAAACTGAAAGTATGTAGATAGTAAATAAATGCTTATTCCTAAATTAAGATATGCATTATCTCTACACGATGCAGAAAAGTTAGTTCATGCATTTATTACCTCAATGCTGGATCACTGTACTGCCCTGCTGGCTGGATGTCCCAGCAAAAGCCTCAGAGAGTCCAGAACGCTGCCAGAGTTCTTACTAGAACCAGAAAGTTCGACCATATCAGCCCAGTTTTATCAACCCTACACTGGTTACCAGTTAAATTTCACATTGATTATAAAATTCTCTTACTGACCTATAAAGCACTAAACGGACTCGCCCCTCAGTACCTGAGTGAACTTCTCTCCCACTATGAACCATCACGCCTACTTAGATCACAAGGTGCTGCTCACTATTAGTACCTAGAATTAATAAAGTTACATCAGGGGGGAGAGCTTTCTGATACAAAGCCCCCCAGCTTTGGAATAGTCTTCCTGTTAATGTTCGGGACTCAGACACAGCCTCAGTCTTTAAGTCTAGGCTAAAAACTTACTTGTACAGTCAAGCCTTTGGTAATTAGTTTTCCCTGTTAAATAAAAGGCACAGATCTGGGGGTTCATGGTCATAGAGTATTATGGTAAACTGGGAGTGTTGGTGCTGTTGTCCCGCTGGTCTCATGCATTCACGCAAGTTTGCTGACGGTGGAGTGGAGGGGTGCCGACATCTCAGAGAGCCTCATGTCTCTGTTACCTTCTTGTTTCTCCCTTTAAGTAAAAGGCTGTAATAACTAGACCTGCCTGAGTCTCTGCTGCTAATACTGTAATCTGTACAGTAAAACCGCTGTTAATACTGTAATCTGTGATCAGTCACTCATTACAGAACTGACTCTCTGTGTGTTTTCCTTTCTTTGTCGAGTTGAACAGCTGCCGATCCTGTCCGTCTGATACTGTTGCTTCTTCTGTCTTGATCGGATGCCCACTGCTTGACAGCCTTCTGGACCGTTTTGACCACCATTGAGTTTCACGCTGTGCAACGCTGTGCAAACCTCACCTTAATGAATTGACCCTCCCGATGATGCTGCTGCTACATAAACTAATCCAATTAACCATTGCTCCACTGGTTTTCCCTGTTTTGTATTCTAATACTTTATACTGATGCTGTTTGCTATCCAGTGTCGACCAGAGGAGGATGGTTCCCCTTTTGAGTCTTGGTTCCTCTTCAGGTTCTCTTCCTCTTGCTCTTAGGGAGTTTTTCCTTGCCACTGTTGCCACTGGTGACGCTCATGGAGGCTCGGACCTGGATTTTTCTGTAAAGCTGCTTTGTGACAACACCTGTTGTAACAAGCACTATATAAATAAACTTTGACTTGACTTGACTTCATATTGTTGTCTGTGAATAAGGGGTTTATATAAAAGGGAATACATTTCAACAAATGAAAATTGTTTGTTTTGATCCAAGAAGAAATTTCATAAAAGAAAAGAAATGAGAAAAAACAAAGAAATTGCATTGAAATCTTTCTCTATTCGATTGAATGGAATTGTGTGGCATAATAGAATGAAGTTTATACAGCAGTTTATTTTTGTTGCCTGATGTCCTCTGCTGCTTATACACAGTGCTGGGTCCATAGTGGACCATCCACAAAATAACTCCAGAAGTGACCACTTCTTATAGATGATCAGAAAACAATCAAAGCCCAAAATATTAGAATGATTATAGAGACAAACTACTGATTGAATATATAAATAAGCTGATCACAAATGAAAAGAAAATCGCTTTTGTAAGAAAGAACAAAGAATTATTTGCTACTTGATAAATTTACATAAAAGACATGTTTACAGTGTTTTATAGTTGTAGCATTATGGTATTAAATGAACTGATGTGCTGAGGTGCATGTTTCACATGCACCTCAGCACATCAGTGGCTGGAATTTCAATGCAATTTCTTTGTTTTTTGTGTGTTCATGTTAGGAAAACAAAATGAATGGTATTTCATGGTCCAAACAGAGTGCTAACTATGTGAAGAGTTTTGAAAAAGAGAAGCAACTGTCAAAAGTGTCTATATTTAAACACACTCAAGAATGTCAACGTAAAATGAAAAAGTTTAAAAGATATAATTGAGTCAAGGCATCTTTTTATGAGTAACTTTAATGTTGAACATGAGTCTGTCTCTCTCTAAAGAACCCAAACTTGTGAGTCTGCCTTGAATCTTATTAAAAAACTATAAAATGTTCATAAAATTTGAGAACTGTGCAAATCCACTTGGCATGCATAGACAGTGTCAGAGCCCCTGCATTGTTCCTCACGCTGCCTCCATCCTACAGCAACACACTGCACTCCAGCCCCTCATCTCCCACAGCAGTGCGGTGACTAACAGTATCAGTCAGCATTAGTCTCTGCACAAAGACAAAATATCATAATGTGAAAAACAGAGAGAAAAATCTTCAAACTGTTGAGATTTGTATCAAGTACTTTGAAGGTCTAAATGAAAATAAATAGGTATCACATTGTTTAACTTGGAAATGTAATTGAGTAAATGTACAAGTACACAATTCCAATAATACTTGAGTAAAGTATAAATCTTCAAAAATAATACTGCAGAGAAATTAAGCACAATTATTACTCAATTATTGTCCATTCTGTCCCTCTTAGATCTAAAGAGTTTTTATCAGCTCCTATCTTGTCTGTTATTTTTTTCTCTGACTGTTTTTTGATTTTAGTACTTATTTGTCATCTTTACAGCAACCCACTCTCTGCAGTACTTCTACACTGCAGTCACGCCAGGAATAAACTTCCCAGAGTTCTCTGTGGTCGGTCTGGTGGATGGAGAGCAGCTTGATTACTATGACAGTAACATCAGGAAGATGATCCCGAAAACGGAGTGGATGGAGAAGAGTGAAGGTGAAGAGTACTGGAACAGAGAGACACAGAAAGCACAGGAAGCTCAGGAGAACTTCAAAGCCAGTGTGGGTACTATAATGAAGCGCTTCAATCAGACCGAAGGTGAGTAAAAACACACTAAGAGCTTTTATTGCACTGACCTCCAGCTCCACAATAACACATAGTGAATGCTGTAGTGTACTATATAGTTGTTGTTTTGGTTCTATGTTCTGTATTGTAATTACTGCAATGCTCTTGTGTGTGTGTGTGTGTGTCTACCTGTAGGTATTCATACAGTGCAGAGGATGTACGGCTGTGAGCTGCATGATGATGGAACCAAGACAGGATACAGGGAGGAGGGCTATGATGGAGAAGACTTCATCAGTCTGGATCTGGACACTCTCACCTGGACTGCAGCCAATGCTAAAGCTGTTATTACCAAACAGAAGTGGGAGCAGAACAATGGGGCTGGTCATGTAAAGTCCTACCTGGAGAATAAATGTATTGAGTGGTTAGAGAAGTATGTGGAATACGGCAGATCCAGTCTGGAGAGGAAAGGTACAGTGATCTGATCTGTTACTGTAACTGTAGCTACTGTTCACTCACACTGTATTCATCCTTATCACTGAAAATCACTCATTACTGTGGAGAATGATATCATTGTTTGTGTATAGTGCACAATTTTTAGAGCATCATGTTCATAAACTAAACATTTGTGGTGATGAAGGTATTTTTAGTGGATGTGTCTGCATAATGAAATGTTTTCCATTGCCCCCTCACAGTCTCTCCTGAGGTGTCTCTGTTCCAGAAGGACTCTTCTTCTCCAGTGGTGTGTCATGCTACAGGTTTCTTCCCCAAAGCAGTGATGATCTCCTGGCAGAAGAATGGAGAGGATCTGCATGAGGACGTGGAGCTCAGAGAGACGCTACCCAACCAGGATGGAACCTTCCAAAAGAGGAGCGTTCTGACTGTCTCACCTGAGGAGCTGAACAAACACAACTACACCTGCATCATTCAGCACAGCAGCCTGGAGGAGGAGATGGTACTGCAGGTGTCTGAACGCAGAGGTGAGAGAAACAAGATGTATATTTAGTTTTGAAAGTCACTGATGAGCCCAGTTATAATAATAATGATTTTTAACCAATTCAGTTTCAGGTAGAGGCTTTACTGGTATCATCATTGGTGCAGTAGTGCCTGTTCTCTTTATCATCGGTGTGGAAATGGATCTTCACACAATTTTTTTTACTTGCCAGATTTGTTAATAGAACATGTATATGTTAATGGATGCCTACTGTTCAGAAGTTGGGCGTATATGCACAGTGCTTTACAATTCCATTATATTCATGCATTTGACACATACCCTTATCCAGAGTGACTGAGATTATTTATAAACATTTATGTAGGGTTATGTTGTGAATAGCACCCTACAGTAAAGTGTTACTGAAAGTACTTACTGTCAAGTTTTCAACACAAGCACTTACATATATAACCCCTGTCATTGTAATGTGGTTAATCTATATACATTCAAATGAATGTGCATGTGTAGAAATTTTGATTGATAAATATGTAATAAAACCTGGAAAACTCTTAAATTATGGAATAATTTAAAATATTAAATAAATGAACTGACACCTTGTTCTAATAATTGTTTAGTGCATATACATAAACATACGGTGAAGGTGAAGGCAAAATGGCACAGTCCAGTGGAATATGACCCAGGTTTAACAGGTCCTGTTCTGTGGCAGTGTTCATCATAGTGCAGGATAATATTATACAGTAGTTCAATAACATACTGGATTCTTGCACATGCATCACTGTAAGCCAGCTAATATTGATGATGCCTCCAAAGGTCCAAGTTTTTAAAATTATTTCTTATCATTTCAGTTAAAAAGGAAACAGAACACACTGTTTTCAGTTTTCCTTACGGAACAAAAGACATTTCAGTCATTTCAGTCACCTGCTAATAGCCTGCAGAAATTAGACACTTTACGCAGTCAGGCGGTCACTTTACAGTTGTCAATTTTGTTCATGCTCACAAACATCTCAGGAAAACTTTAATGAAAACATAAATTTACCTAAATTGTGTTGTAGAATGATTTACGCACAAATGTGTTAGCCTCATGTTTCATGAATGAGGGACATTGTGTTTATGATGCGCCTAATGAAGGTCTACAACGATGTAACACAGGTGTTTCAGGCAGAGCGTGTTTTGGTGTGGTTGGCGTCGTGGCTGTTCTGCTCCTCACTGTCATTGTCTGTTTTGGAGTTTGGAAGAAGAAGTCAGGTAAGGGAGGAAAGTTCTTTTTTATTGCACAGATTTTTTAAAATATATTATATATTTTCACACATACAAACTCTTAAGGATTCCTGATATCATAGTGTCATATATTTTTAGATTATATAATAATCTAATATACAGATCTTTTGATGATCTTTGGCCAGTTTAAAGTCCCATCCCTAGTCCTCTTGTGCAACTGTCTGTTACGAAGCATACCTGTACTATTATTCATTATCTGCTCTTCATTCATTTTCAGACCTGTTTCTGGAAAGCACGAAGCCTGTAAGTGAGACTGATTATTTATGTGTGTTTAGTCCACTCTATTATGAATGTTTGAGTGTTTGAATTTGACTTTGAATCTCATCATATTTTACAGCCTCTGCAGGAGACTCACCCTCTAACAACCCCAAAAGACCAGTGTCCCCCCTCTGATTTCACAGAGTAAGTCTCTGCACTGCAATATGTCAACTCCAGAAAGCCGTTTCTCTGTCATATTATCACTGAGCTCGGTTTATATCCATATAATCTAGCTTTGTTTTGTTTTTTCCTCAATTGCTTTGGTACATGCTCTGAATCACCACTGAAATTATATAATCATAAAATACACATCAAAGCAGCAAGATATTTCACTTACAGATTGTATTATAGAGAAAATATTAAAAGTGATTTTTTTTATTTCATTTCACTTTGTGGAAATAAACCAAAAATACACTTTTCTGCATTTCTTCATATTTTTAAAGCTACATATTATAAATAATACTTTATTATGCTATGAAGAAATACACTTGAATACATTTATTTTTAATACTAAAGCAATTAAATTACCCAAGAGTATATTTAAGTGTCATTAACATGTATCACTTAAAAATATATTTTAACGCAATGATTTCAATACATGCTTCAGTACATTTTAGTTGCAGTATAAATCAAACTAACTAACTGTCAAATACAGGTAGCAGTACAACCAGACAATACATTTAAAATATAATTCACTTTAGTAGAATTTGTCTGAACAGCTGCTTAAGTTAATAAATTGCAGCACAAGCTGTTCAAGAGAAAAGCTCTTGTAGGCATTGAAGATGTATTTGAACATTACTTAAATATAAGTCTATATAAGCACATACAAGCTGTGTTTAGCTATTCCTAATAATATATTTCAGTGTATACGTAATTATGTTTTATAAAAGTACACTTAAATTCGTGTTTTATTTGTTGACTGCATTTAAGTGTTTTTTAGTGAAATTAAAATCTAATTTTAAATGTATTTTTGCTATCATATATAAACAAACTGTGTCACAAGTGCATTTTATTTGCACTATAGCTCAATAAGTAACACTGAAGTTTATCAGTACATCCAGCAGTATATTTATAATATATTCCAAGTCTAATAACAGTTATGTTTACAAATTAATTACAAATAAAAAAATGAATTGCTTTAAATCTATTTTAATAGAGTTACTGAAAAACACCCAAAAGCACATCTAAATGCAATTAATATTTATTCAATTATAGCTTAAAACCAAAATATATGGTAATGAGTCCAGTGATCATATACCTTTCACCTTGATGCTTTTTCACTAAAACTAACAAGTTGTTTTACAACTTGTTAGTTTTAATCAATCTCAAGATTAATTTGTAAATACATGTACGCCCACATATATATATATATATATATATATATATATATATATATATATATATATATATATATATATATATGTATATATTCTCACGTTTACATAAATCAACAGAAGAGCATTATAGTCCATTCTGATCTCAAAGGCTTACTCAAAGGCATTTCTGTGCCAGCTGAAGACAACTGTATTCAACTGTATTTAGTATTTACACTTACAACATTTGAATAAGTTCAGATAGAAACATTCATGTTGTTGTTCTGTTTCTCCTTTTAGGTCATTGGCAAAGAAAAGAAGACAGAATGAGAGGGAAGAGGTAAAAACACCTAATTTACACAGCTCCAAACATTGTACTACCTCTATTCTCTCCTGTTAGCCTTTTGTATATATTTGTGTATATATTCTCTTTTTGTAGATGTTGTAAATTGCTTCACCAGGTGTAGGTTTGGCTGCCATTTTGTTTATTTCTGTGTCAGTCAGGGAGTTAGGGAAGCTGCGTGTCTTTTGTTTTTTTCTTTTGTTTTGGTTAAAGCTAGTTAGTGTCTGACTTGGAGTAAGTGTGGGTTCTGTTTGTTATTTTGACCAAACCTGAAAACCGGTGATTGCACTGTACAGTTGTATAATACACTGTGAATTTGCAATTAAGAACTTTTGCTCTTTTTGGTCACATTATTATACATAACACACACCTTCACAAAGCATACATTTCACAACACACCACTCTTTTACAGCCTGACCCTAGACCGGGTCATAACACACTTAGTTTTAGGCCAGAATGCACCTTTAACCAACATTTAATATGTTGTCTGTTGTGATGTGTTATGTGATAATCTGTTGCGCAGCATTGTATCCCTCAGCCTCAAGGGTTTGACAGAATACACAACTTTGTATACTTTTATGTCCACTACAATATCCAGCATGCATTGCAAATGATGTGATCCAACCACTGGGAACCTGCTTGTCTAGCCACTGGAAGATATGCTGCACTGCAATAACTGAAATTATCTTAAATCCATCTGATATATCCAATATTAAAAATATATTTGTTTAATAGTTGTAGTGATATAAATCCATAGTGCTTCATAAATAGTGTAGTTTTCAATCAAATCAGATAAACTGAAACATTTAACAACAGAATCATACGAGACTCCTGAATAAATTCCACAAAGGCAGATTTAACTCATTTGTGGTAGATTGCTGGTAGATATGCTATATTAAAACAACAAGTTACAGGTAGTCATAGTTCAGTCAGTATGCAGAGTTCATGCAGAATGTCAGAAAGTTTGCATTCAGCTGGACATGACAGCACACAAACTCTGAAAGGCCAGATCGGTCAATGCTGTTGATTATAAATTGTATATATGAAACAAGTGCAAGTCAAGTAACATTAAATGTGGTGATCCAAAGCTAGTGAACTCAAAACTACCTCAGACTGAATAGTAAAAAGAGCTTTACAAAAGGTTTGTCCCATTTGGACTCCAGAATGGCAAACAAATGTCCAATCCGACAACAACTGCTAAATGTTAAAAAGTGCTAACTGGGATAATGGAGTGATGGTAGTTGTGGTGCTAGCATAGCTAGCAGGCTGACAGTTTTACACAACACAGGACAAGCCTCCTGCATCCGCTGCCTCTCCAGTCTCTCTGCCTTCAGTCGCTCCAGTCTAGCCTCCTGGAGGCCTCAGGCCCTGTGGATCCACAGCTCATCCAGTCTCCCTGGCCTCCTCTGACTCCCTTTTTCTCACCATAGACACTACAACATCAACAGAGCTGCCATCTAGATGATGACTATAATAATAATAATAATAATAATAATAATAATAATAATAGTAGCAAAAAGATCAATGTTTGCTTAAAAAAAAAAAAAAGTTGGCTTGAGAAAGCCAGCTAATAGCAGTTGAAAAATTAAAGCAGTGGTATAGCTGTTATATACTTTATTTTATATATTTATTTACATACTGCTTTTATATTCTCTGCACTATCCTGATCATTGCACTGAAATCTGCACTTTACTGCATATTACCTCTTCATATAGTCATTCTAATACATGACTTTACTATTATTTGCACGTCTGCTCAGCTGCCAAACTGCCTTTCATTGGCTGTGTACTTGTACTGCACAACGACAATAAAGTTGAATCTGATCTGATGATTTAAGTGTGTTCATGTAGTAATTCTAGGTAGTTGCTATGATGTTACTATGCATTTGCTTTGGTACTCACATTAGTTAGGGCGTTGCTCGGTGGTTGTCATGTGGGTGCTGGGTCATTGCTCTGGTATTGGGTTGGTTCTTAAGTGTTAGTCTGTGATGTGTGTGTATGTGTGTGGTATGTGTCAGCTGGGATGTGTGTGTGTGTGTGTGTGTGTGTGTGTGTGTGTGAGGAGTATAGTGTATCTGTGGTGTGATTATTTACACATTGTGTATTAAAGTTTATTTTAATATATTGTTTTATTAAATAAAACATTCTCAGCATAATTTGTCAGACTTGCCATCAGTTGATGATTTCTTCACACATTCACTGTTTTAGGTTAGTAATGTTAGCTGAGCTAACAGAGCATTAGCATTTTGTCTGATTCATCTAAAAGACTGACATTTTAATGAAATAAAATCTAGTATCTAATTAATTAATTAATCCATTTTAGTATTTCATATTTCATTATATTTAAAATATAAATATGTTTGTCACAAAATACCTTATTTCACAAATTTTTATTGCACAAAAAAAGTTGTAGGCCTTAACATAGCATTAGCAAATTGCCTCTTATTGATGCAGTCTGAGTATAAAGCCTCAAGATCTTGATATAATTTCAGGTGGAAATTTTAAAGAGCACAAACAACAATGTCTGTTGATTGCAGACATCTCTGTTATCATTATTCCAATCAATCAATCAATCAATCAATCAATCAGTGAAAAAGTAAATGAATTAACATACCCCAACAATCTGTTTATATATATATATATATATATGACATTCACATGACCATTTTGGAGTTTCGACTCCTTTTATTAATTCACTGCTTCATACTTTGAATTATATGCAAAAAAGTAAACAATAAATTCAGGTAAAATAAATGCCACTGTCTTCACTTCCCTACCACTTTAGTTACTCTTCTCTGACATCACACATAACAAGGCTGAGGGTCTGTAGTTACACCGGTAGCTTCATAATTGCCAGCTTCATTAGTTTTAGAAAAAAGAGAAAGATGCATTTTATTATTGGATTCCCAAGTTTTACATACAGTATTTTACATAACAATTGACTCAGTACATCAATATTAGTTTCACAGATCATACACTACCTGTTCATCCACACACCTGCTAGTTCAACATTTCTCCTAAAATCAGTATTGAACTTTACTACACTAACAGCCTCTGCTCTTCTGGGAAGGCTTTATGCTAAAAGCAGAACCAAAGAACTTGTTCTTCATGGAATGTAGCTGTTCCTGTTGTGGTTTGACACAAGCAGTCACATGAACTATAAAGCCTTTCACACAGTAGATGTGCACGTAACTCACCCACAGCACCCAGCATAAAAACCATGGGTGTGCCTTAAAGTGGAATTCCAACTATTTTTTTTTTTATTTCTACATAATTCAATCATTGAAATTTAAACAGTCATTCAGAATGGTTTGATGTGAAATGATTGATCATAGAGACTCAGGAGCCAGGGGTCACCATGACTACAACAGTAATACAGCCATTTTATTTACTATTCAAAACCACCAGTGAACCTACACGAGTCTTCTGAGTTTATATATGGAATGTTGATGATGGGAAAACAGAGGAAAATGTGAAATAATAAGTTTTGGGAACTATTTTGCCTTACCAAAATATGTATCCTGTATGTACCCCTCCACCATGAAGGGATTAAAAATACATTTTAGACCAAAATCTAATCTCGAAATAATCATAAAACAATATCTCAGGCAGTGAATTCATAACCATTCCATGTAATACCTTTCTGTGAGGGAGCTTTTAGAGGTGGACGTCTGGTTCCTATCACCACCACTGTGAACAATTCTGACTCTGTAAGTTTCTCTAGAACTGAGCGTTTCACACCAAACCACTCTGAACGACTCTGTTTACATCTATTTA